AGCACGACGTGTCGTACGAATAGTATTATTTAGCGCCGTGTAAACTCCTCTGCGGCCGTGATGGTTATACGAAAAGCGGCTCAAATTAGGGAGTTTGACTTGTCCGATCACCTCGCATCACATTCCCTAAATGTGTATGCATGGTCCCACACGTGTTGTACTCGCGATTTTTAACATCGCCGCCAATAAAATGTAGTCGGTTTAACCGCTTGAACGTTTACCGCGATACCTCACGCAGTGACGACATTAGTCATAAGTTAACACTGATCTGTTTGATATACCGTGCGCCCACCCAAAAGATCCTGATTTTCGTAACGAGTAGTTGGGCCGGCGGCATATGATATTATAGAGGTCAACAAGTTTTAGCCGCTCAAATAATTTACGTGCAGATATTAAAAAAAAAAAAAATTGTGCACCCAACTGCAATAACCACTTCGACTGTCGTATCTAATAATGACATTCATAAAAATTGTGATGCCCACCCATCCGACCATCAATATAATAAATTTATGCCACGGGGCACATATTATTATCGTTCACTGTGGATTAACGCTGAATTATTTATACATCCACCTGAGGCGATTTTTAAAAAATGTGCAGAACGATGCGTTTGGATAATATCTGCGGGCGCACTCGTATGCCATTTTCAGACGAGTGCCAATACCAAACACTAATATCGTTTTCAACAATATTTTTTAATTATATTATTTAATTCATTTTTCACACTTTTTCGACGAGAGACAGTTTTTTGTGGCGATCTGCGCAAAAATTGATCGATTCCATATGGCCGCTATAGTATTGTTGAACATTATGTTGGTTTAACAATAAAAGGGCAATTTGTTAACAGCTTTTTGTAGTTATTAGGTAAAATTTCAAAATCGATAATTTTTAAAAGATCGTTTATGTATAAATATCATACGAGCTAATAACTGAAAATTTATTTAAGCATATTATCATTTAATTTTCATAGAAGTTATAATTTAACTGCAGTCATGTGTGAATATGTATTTATTATTTTTAAATATCATCATGTAATGACATTGTTACCGTAGTGATAATGTTGTATAAAATATTCAAATATACCTAAACAACGAATACTTAAGTTTTAAGAAACTAAATTGCTACATGTCATAACATTCACATACAAAAATATGTATGTGATTGATCATTATTTATGTCAAACGAGGAAATTCAACATAATACCTACTACTATGGGGAAATGAGTATTTTATTTTAATATCTTACAAATCAAATCAACTATTAGGATATAAATGTCTAGATACTAAAAATAACTATTACGTATATCCAAACAAATTAGTTATAATTTTTAACCAACTCATAGTATTATGTATACCTAGCAGGCTATTGAGCAATACACATTATGTAAAAGACTCGTTTGGACAGCCTTGTAACATCTATAGGGTATCGGTAAGTACATTAAAGGCATTGAATTATATTAAACTATATTTATTAATAATTATATATATGTGAAAACAAACAATGAAATGCATATAATTATATAATTGCACATAACTATATATTAGTAATATGTACAATAATACACTGCATTTATTGTTCACGGTCAATTAATCCTCAACAACGCACATACATATAACTTAAAAGCACTCACGTATTCATCTAGATGTGTTCTAACTAAATAAATATTCATAACTATTATTACTATTATTATTATACAAATTAATGTACGTAGCATGCATAAAATGTACATATTTATAGGAATAGGCGCCCAACGTTTTAATTGTATGAATAATAAGGCAAATCATAATATTTCGTCATTAAATAAAGCATTAACCAGAGTTGAGAAAAATTTGTTTTAAGAAAAAAAATTCTGTTAAAACCATGTTTTTTGAACATTTGATCATGGTTTTAAATGCGGATAAAAATGTGCATTTAATAGCTATATAATAGTGCTCAATAAAATTAAGTAACTACTCTAACAAGAAATGACTTTTGTTATTTATTGAGTACTATTTTGTATTTTATGAACTAATATTGGGAAATAAAGTAATAAATAATAATGTATTGGTAGGTAGTTTATTTATATGTAACTGATCACAATACACGGACAAGCTTGAAAGTTAAAATTAAATTTAAAAGTTACTTGTGTAATAACTTTATAACTGAATCAGTCAATTTTGATTGTTAAATAATTTTTGAAATTAACTCTCATTGAAAATATGGATAAAAGTTAATTATAACAAGCCATAATAAAAATAAGTTTATACTTTATAGGTATTACAGTAGTTAAATTTATTAAAGGGCGTCCGTTGATAGAGAAACCAAATAATCAGAAACATTACTCTTTCTACCGTGCTACAGAAATTTATCGATCCAGTAGAAGTGTTATGCGATTATTTTGACTCTTTTTATACTACAGACGATATTTTAAAAATAATTGGTCATTTTCAATAGATTGAATAGAAAAACAAGAATTTTTCACTTGTTTTTTAAAGCAGGATTCCAACTTAGACAAGTTAGACGCCAAGACTACACTGATCTGCTTGCTACCAAATAATTACCCCTTTCCAACATATTTTACAGTATCTTAGCCTTATGCACATGGGTAGGTACTAAGTAGATATCTCAATATATATTGTCAATTGCTATGTAGTCAATGTGACCAAACATTTTAAGCTCGCCGACTACGTTGTTGTATGTATCATTATTATTGTAATAACATTAACTAGATCATTCTTAACAATTTTTAATTAGAATATCTATGATCATTTGGTTTCATAGATTTATTCAATATTTTTACCAATAATTATTATGTTGCAGCTTTATTAGTGTGATCATAGCAATATGTCTACTCGGCTTAGTTTCCAAATCAGAATTAATTATTGAAGGAGACATAATAGTATTAGTAACTATACCTTAATTTTCCGTTCAAAACAGACGATGGTGATGAAACTGTTTTTAAAGTACTTTCTTAAAATGTAAACAAGCAAGTATGTACCTACTTTGAATCCTAAACCTATGATACCAAAATAAATTATACATTATATAAATGCATTTTTTAATTTCAATTCAATACAATGGATATAATCCTCATTTAATCATTATAATACAATATAATATATAATGTGAATAATAGGTAAGATTAACTATTGTCTATATTGTCTGTCTGTCATTTTTAATAATTTTCAAAACAAATATATTATAATATTACGTGTTTAACTAATAAATTGAGCTCAACAATTACATCGACTAATCATGCGCATAGTGTATTTTAGTACATGTCATGATTCGTGAAATGCAAACAATATAGTTTCATTTAATTTATTTTAGACATGTATGACTTATAAGTACTACTGAGTGCTTATTATCTAAATTTAATTGATCAATTAACTCAAATATTTCTACAAGTACAGTATAGGTATACAAGATAAGTAGGTGGTACTACTGGTACTTGCATTTTTTGTACACCTATTACCTACATATTTATTTCCCATTATCGTTAAATTAATAGGTTCAAATAACAGCTATAAAATATGTTAATAACATCCGTTTTAAACAAAAATAAAGATTCTCAAATATTATTCTGCATAGGTATAGATACCTAGTTTGACACAGTTTTGATTCCTTAAATTATTAACGTTTACTATAAACAAAGGCAAAAAATATTAAAAAAAAAAATTATATTATTCTATATTGAAACTAGGGGACTGTGTCCCTTAAAGCTCGCTTTACTAACAAATCTCCCTTCAATCTCTTTTTTACAAACTGAGAGTTTATAACTCAAGTAAAAAAAAATTGAAATAAATAATTATATTAACATTTTTAGTAAAATATAATACATAAATTACTGTAATATCTTATAAATAAAATATTTTCAATTAATTTTTTTTCTAATTTTAACTCAATTCTGATTACTCTACAACTTTTACAGCATGAAAATACAACGTATAATTGATTATGCATAAATATTATTATAAATTATATTTTGTCAAAACATTTTATTAATTTCACCATTGCCGTTAAATAAAACATTAAATTATTGAGAATACGCATCATTTTCAAGGAGCTTAACTTTTCCGTAGCGTCAGCAAGAGTTTCACTTTTCATTTTTAAAAGACAAAACATTACAATATTAGATTGTTTTTTCATATCATCGATATCTGAATAATGAATATGCAGACCTATCTATTTGTTCTTTTTCTAATTTTTGTTTGTTTAATAATTAATTTTTGTCGTTACAGGCTCACGTTTTTGTTCATTATTTTCTCGGATTTTATAAATGGGTACTGTTCTTTTTTCGTAACGCGTGACCTTAATTTGATACATGAAGCCTCTATCTACCTATCTTAAAACTTACAAAAGAACTTTAAAATTTGTTTCCATAGCGATTATAGAAATTATTCCAAATATTATTTGTATAATAGAGAAAATCCTGATATACCTAATACGATATAAATGCATTATAATATATGATAAATTGTATGAGTAAAGACATTGAAAATATAGAATAGATGGTAATAAAAATACAAATAATCATAATATCATGAAAAATAACATCGATTCATTGAATATCAAATTATCAAATTACAATACTAAAAATTGATATCTAACTATAACCATATTTTATATTGTAATAAACTACACTATACGTATGTAAGTATACAAAATGTAACTGCTATAACTCTAAGGAAGTATAGTAAATATGAAAGAGAAAATATGCTTTGTTTTTCATTTTGTAAGGACTACAGTCTACAGATTTTTATATATTGTTGCAACAGCCAATCCGGTTAAAAGGACAGAAAGTGGCTATCTAATAAAGAACCACTTTTCGAAAAATAAATATACGGTTGATTACACGTTGCAGCATTTATAACAATTATTTAGATTTTTTATACTAATCAATGAGTAAGAAAAACTGGAATTTCAAGAGATTAAACATGTTGCTTATACATACCTACGTGTTATGGAAAGAAGAGAACATAAAATTATGTAGGTAATACACCAATAGATCACAAATTACAATGTTATTTTCGTTGAAAATTTTTCAGCTATATATTTCTTATTTCAGTTGAGCTGCACATAGATAAGTGTTTCTAATACATAATGGTAATGATAAAAAAAAAATACAGACGTATAAAATAGAAAGTATAAAAAAAAAAAAACAAGAAAATCTGGTCCCAATGTAAGACTTAAACTAAGATTCGTTTCCTTTTCCAAAACCCTTATATTATGCTCGTACTATAGATAAGTATAGCTGGTACCAAATTTCCATTTTATTTTTTAGGAGCGGTTTCTGGTTTATGCGATGACGACAGGAGCAGCGCAGCGCAGGTCTTGTGCATATTGGGGCTCCCGTCTATAAGCGATTAATCTTCTTGGGAATACCATTATTTAGTTGGTTGCATTACTTATATAGGTGCGAGCGTTGTTAATATTCCTAATCGGCCGTAATCAATAACGAAAAAAAAAGTTGTTTTTAATGACTTCTGATGGTGTCTGTTCAGTGGATAATATCTAAAAACAAAAACCATCACTTTATAAATAAATTGGTGACTAGCCTAATATAAGGTACCTACAATGTAGGAAATACCTAATAAGAAAACATTATTTTGAAAATGTCAGTGTGCGATTACATATTTACCACCTACTTACCTGTAGGTACCTACGCATTACCTATGTAGATACCTACATACCAATGACCTATCTAAATAAAATATAAGTTGCTTGACCCCCGCGGATGTTTAACTACTAAATAATTAACTATTATTTTAATAAGTATATTAGATTAGGTAATTTATTTTTTATTTTAAATTACAATTTTAGCATACCTACTTTAAATTACTCATGTGCATAGGTATAAAATCTATGTAGATATTCACATTTCACATTCTGACATATAGGTATATTCATTCATGACTATATGTAGTTATTTAAAATATATAGACAAAAAACAACATATTATGTTCTATTATAATATATAAATATATACATTTAGGTATGTATGTATTATTATAAAGTAATAATAGTACTATTACAACTAATCCAGCCCCTAAATTATTCAAATTTTCGTACTACACACTTAGTCCCGAATCGACCAAATCTAAATAATAAATCAATACTCTAAAAACTAGCGCTAATGCTTGCGAATTTCTTTAACTAAAAACACATAAAATAAATTAAATAGCAAAATTAATAAATATATTATTTTATAACTGTGAACAGAATTCAATTGTTATTAGAGTAAATTAATATATTAATTTACACTAATATATTATTATTTATTCAATTTATTGAGATATTGTATTGTATATTATATTATTTATATTATAGGTAGGTAACCTTTTAGTTATATTTTATATATAAATAAAGCAATTACTGTAATAGTGCTGTAATATTTTACCAAAATAAATATTGTTTAAAGCATACTTTTAAATTTCGTACTACGCATGATTTTAAGTGTTCAACTAATTTAGACCATCTCTATATTTCTTTTTATAATAAAAATTAAAAATTAGGTACATCCTCTTACTCAACATTATGTTCATATCATAAGAGAATTTTCACCTATTTATTTTAATTAATATTAAGTTGCATATTACATAAGATTACATAAATATATTACTATTATTGATTATAAATAACAAAATTAAATTACCTAATTAATATCTCTTATTTATGAAATATTTCCAACTTTTAAATGTTTTAATTTGTTCTTCAAAAATATTAATTAAAACCTAAAATGATAATATCTGTAAAGAATTAAACTGTTACCACTTTTTCAACGTATATAGCAAATGTACTAAGTAGTGTCAATAGCGTATTTACTAGAGGGAAGAAGCATTAGAAAGATAAATCATCCCCTAGACCCCCATTTCTTCTTTTTAACTTATAGTCATTTAAATGATTAGAGTTGTTTCTTTCATTTATGACTTTATCCATGTGTAATAGAATGCTAAGACATTTGACACCAACAATTATAGTCATATCTGAATATCCCCCCTCAAAAAAATCTTTTGGGTAAAAACGCCACTGGGTAGTGCACACAATTAATACTTCTCAAATGATTAGTTTATTGATATTCATGATACATTGAATATTGATACATATAGGGTAAACTGTACGTCTGTGATTACCTATACACATTATCATGATCACATATTTATATTTTTTTTCATCGTATAATTGGAAAGCATTTAATTAAAAAAACACTAAATAACTTTACTACATTTTACAAGAGACCAAAACATACTTTTCATTATAAGTAGATAGATGTGTATGTGAATATGGCGAATATGCTATTTCTTACGGACGCAAAAAACAGCTTTTATGATAGGTAGGTACATCTCTTTATTATTTAGTTCATGTAAAATCAATATTACAGTCGTATGCAATTATAAAAATATTATTACAGGTATTTTAAATAAATACACAGAAAATAGTTTACTATAAAATCTACTTCACTTAGGTATTCAACATTTTAATGTCATGTATTCGTATTATAAGCCAATATTAAATTTATGGCTGATATTAATATTTACTTTTAGTGATATTACAATTGGAATTTTCATTTATTACCTATCTGGATACCTTAACAAAAATTAAAATCAAAATTGAAGCTACCCAATTTTTTTTATCATTGACTAATATTTTATAAATTATTATCAGATCAATAATTTTAAACTTTAATTTAGTATTAACTATCAATTTAAATCCTAATTTCTAAGCAAATACCAACTATTGATCTACTTACGACATATTTTTTTTTATATTAGATATACTGGTATAATGAGAGTTACCTGTAAGTTATGATTAAAGCCATGGCTGTAACAATTATAAGAGCAGAAATCTATGCATGTAAAATAAGATTTAACTATGAAATTTTATATTTTACTTAAATATTTCATTAAAATCACTTAAAAAAGAGTCATATTAAATAGTGTCAAATCTAAAGTAACAATAATCGTGTGTTTTGCTTAACAGTATAACTCAATAAAAAAAGCGTAAAGGTTTAGAATACTATTCTTAATAATTAATACTTATTCATTATTAAACATAATTAGGTAATAGGTATGTATGTAATAATCACATATATTATGAACATTTTGTAATAAGATTTTGGTTTGACAAACTGACAACATGTCTAAGAAAGTTCTAGAAAATACATAAAGTGTTACATATTAATAGATTATTAACTGTTTGCTAAGTTTGTTAATTTTATAAATAATATATTTATTAGCTTAGATTTGTATTGATATGGAGATTAAGGTAGATTATTTAACTTATAAATTGATAAGAAATTGAAAATTCCTATTGCTCAATTAAGCATTTACATACATAAATTACTACTACTCATGATCAACTATAATCATAATACACATAACTCATTTATACATATAAATAAAAAAATCCAATTCTTAATACAAAAGTTTATAAATAAATATAATAAACACTTTTATTATATTCTTTTATTGTTCTTATAATAGATGATCAGTATCAAAGTATATAAGTATTTATTTGATCAATCAAAAGAGCTAATACAAATATAAAATAGGTATCCACACTTTATAAATCAATATTTATATTTTTATTCAATAATTACTATTTTGTATCACTTATTATTCTTTCTCATCTAATTAATAATAATTGTTATGTATTTAATAGAATTTTACAATTTAATTTTTAAATTTCATCATACAGACTTGGAAGTTTACATTGTTGTTCATTGTTTATAATGTAGGTTTTAGATATACATGCAGTTAATTAAACATTATGATATTAAATTCAATAACTATTCCATAATTCTTACGCCAATATTAATTAATATCAAGCAAAGTTATTTTTAATAAGAGCTTTATACCTTTTACGTTTAGCTATCTAAACAATAAAATTCCACATTGAAAATATAATTTCATAAATTGCACATTCTGCTTATAATTCTATGTTAAGCCTTTTAGAAGTAACATTGACAATAAATTATAATTTAAAGAACACCATAAATACTTTCATCTTAATAATCAAAAATTAAATTAACAAATAAACATTAAATAATATTAGCAATAATAATAAATAGTTTAATAGTTATACATAAGGTACAAGATTATTGTCTAGTTGATAATTTTCAACAATAACTAAAACATACTTGGAACATTTTTTAGAATTTAAATTTTCTATGATATAATTTTCTCGCACCCATTTGAATAATTAACATTAATATATTTGTACGTTACAACTTAAAATTAATTTACTATTAGTAAACTAAATGAAATAAGATAAGTATATAAAATACATTTATAGGCAGTTGTTTCTCAAAACAGAGTATCTATTTTTATAATATTATAAACTCAATAATGAGTATACTAAATTTACTAATTGGATCTTAAAATATTTAAGTTGTTTGACAATAAAAACTAAACATTTTTCTTATAGAATATAAAAACTGTTGTTTAAAAGTATAATATTTCTACTTAAAAAATTAAACAAACACCCAATTAAATTATTCTAAAATAATGTCTTACAAGTTGGTATATTGTAAAAATTTATTTAGCTTGTATAATATCAAATATTTTTGAGTTAAAACTGTTTATACTTAAACAAAATAATTTAAAAATCAACGAAAATCAATCAATTATATAGTTCATCACTATGACAGTAAAACATCTTACAATTTATTATCAAAAAAATAATTTCAAAAACTTTTATTTGAAGAATTAACACAATCATACGCAAATAATATGAGTTTTTCTATGATTCGATAAATGAATACTAAAAAAAAAAAAATGTTTTGAAATTATCAACAATATATTATAAAATTATCTTAAAATTAAAAATCTAAGTGTTATTACACAGTTCATATGATATAGTTATATATTATAAAAAAATTAATTCTATATATAAAAAATTATTGTCATTGGATATATTTTAAGTCTTCTAAGTAATAATAATACTCTTTAAAATCAAATCTATGATGAATATTCATTAAGATGAATAAAAAAAATTGGTGTATTAACAAGAAAATAAAACGTTTATCATTCATTCAAATTCTAAACTTGTAAACATCATTAAAATAATATATTGTCCAACTAATTCCACCCTACACACCATATCAATGTCTCTAAATTAATTAAAAAGGTAGATAACATACGACAATAGTAACAAGATTTGTAAAACAACATATTCTGATTCATTAAAATGAATGTCAAATAAAATTTTTAAGAAAAAAAATAACTTAACACAAACAAAACAAAAAAAAATAAATAGCAAAATTATCACAGGCTATTGAAAAAATAAACACTTCACCATTAAAGAAATAATATAAATTAATAATTATAGTAGCAATGATAATAATACTAATAATAATAGTTACTAAAAATAATATTAGAATTTTTGGAAAACAAAAGATGTAATATAGGATTGAGCAACGCAATGAAATACACAGCAGGTTTAGAATTATAACTAATAGTTGAAATCTAAACTTCTTATTATAATATAATACTTTCTTAAGTCTAATGTTAGTGATGTCCATGGTTATAAAGATATGTTGTTAATTACTCGAAATGTTAATATTCTAAAACGAGTAAATTGATTGTTATTTGTCATAGCGAGTAGATGTTTTAATTATTATCCGTTTTGATAGCATTAAATTTTTCTTTTACCACAGCTAAGGAAAATAATAAAAATTATTCAAATACCAAATAAAAAGAATATATTTTTTTTTTTAATAACCATTTATTATGTAATATTATTTTAATTACCATCATAATACTTTTTCAGACTCTCTAATTGTTGATTTCGCAACCATATATGAGGTCGCTTGGATACAATATTTTCAATTGCTTGTTCGGGAGTCCAATTATGTTTCTAAAGAAATAAATAATAAAAATAATTACAATAACAAAATAAAAATCTTATAAATCATAAGAAGTAATAAAAGTAATGAGATAATTCTAAAAAGTATTTTATATACATACAGACATCAAATAACAGCCCACAAGAGTCGCACTACGAGTACGACCTGCTTTGCAATGTACATAGACAGTATTACCATCTCTTGAAACTGCTTCCATCACTGAAACACCTTGAATTAATTTTTCATGTGACGGAGTTTCAAAAATGTCTTTAGTACTTAGCTGACAATGTTCTACTCCCATTTTTTTCCATTCCTGAAACCAAAATAGAACTATTTAATATTGATTTCTAAAATCTAGAGAAAACTTCAAAAATTTTTAATTTTTACATATTTGAGTTGTAACATTCCTTATACATAAATATATGTATTACACAATAAACACACAAAATATACACACTAAATGCTCTTTTGGACATGTCCAAATTATTACTTAATATACTAAAATGAAATACACCAGGCAGTTCAACACTAACCATCAACACGAGCAAACTCAAAAATACAATTATTAACAGCTGTCTTCCAAAACAGTAAAGTACTATTTTATATACAATAATTATTATAGATTTATAAGCCAAACGTGTCTTATTATTGATAAAAAATACCTCACATATATTGCTCTAACCCCCAGTTACGGAAAACTTATCCATAAGGAATAAAAAACCTTATCTGGATAACTAATATTGTAACATTCATAAAAAGGTTTCACTAACCACATTACAAAGTGTAACTTATAAATGTATAAAATATTACTTTAAATTAAATTTAATTTAATTTAAAACAAAGAATATATTTATCTATATTAATTTAACAAGAAACAAAAGTTTACTATAATTATTAACATGACATTTAAAATTTTAATAGTACATTTTTACCAAAACAAATCACCGCACAGAAGTTAATGAAATTCAATTTAATTTCTATAAAAGAATAATTTTAATTCATTCAATGTAAAAAATAATCATTTTATCTACTAAATGTAACAAAAATCAATAACTTATCAATTACTAAATTAATACTTTATTTAAATGATGAAATTTATATTTTATACAAAAACTAATAAGGTAAGAATTTAAGAAATGTTTAAATTTGAAGACTAATGCATGCATGACATTTTTTTTAAGATTTGATTTATTAGTGATAAATTTACTAAAATTTAAGCACATAATCAACAAACTTTTTAAGTAACACTAAAATTTAATATTAATAATAATATTATATTTTTTAAAAGATTATTAATGCATGTTTATTCTTTAAGTAATTAAATTTTAATGCTTAGAAATCTAAAATCAATACCCTAATGTTTAAAATAATACTTAACTAATGATATGTTTTTTTACAAATAAAAATCGCAAAAACTCAGAAATATTATATCATATAAATATACAAGGATCTATCACATTAAATAATATTTAAATAAACTAATATCACATAATCAATATTTTGTACAAAACAAGTTTTCAAAAATAATTTGTTTGAATTAGTAATAATATTAATATATGTAATTAATTTATGAGCAAAGTTATAGAAATTAGTAATTACATAATAAATTACAGAAATTATAAAATACTAGCTAAAAATAAAAACATTATGTAGATTTTGTTATTAATAAATTAAATCTATTTAAAAACTATCACAAAATATTAAGTAATAAATTATCAAATTTAAAATAACAATTAATTTAAATTATTTACATTCATGTAGGAGATATTATATGAATTATATGTATACAATGTTATTTAATTATATTAATACATACATTTATACATTATACATATTATGTCAATATTTTCTTAAAACTACATTTTTCATAAAGAAAGGTTGTGAAGTGAGGACTAAAATTATTATACAGACAATTTGTTATAGATGTTACCCATGTAATAGTTTGTATCCGTGTAAGATTTAAATAAAAATGTACATATACCATGCCATTCATAATTCCTACATTTTTAAAAATTACTAGTCGATTTTTTAATATTTTAGTGATACAATACTATGATCCATATACTTAATCATCATAATTTATGTTATATTATAAATCTACACTTATATTTTATTGGTATGTCTGCTAACTTAACAGATGAAAACCTCCATAAAAATTAATCTAGACAAACTTGAAAAACAGTTGTATACGACAGCAACTAATAATTATGACCAATCAAAGAAAGCCTAACTCTCATCATGGTAAAGACTATTCTGACAAACCAGTTAGCATAAGTGAAAGTGTGCAAAATTAACTTAAATATAATATAGATATTATTTATCATTTATAATATAACAATATTAATAAATCCAATAAAATTCTAAAACATAAACATTTGTACAAACCACTAAAATTAGGTTCTGGCAATTTTTATTTAGCTATAAATATAAGGTTTATACAAAAATTCTATTGGATTTACATTTTAAAGATAAATCTATGTTTATAAAAAAAATGTTTAGGTTAACTGGGAATATAATTAATATTATATAACATTATGATACTAAGAAAAAACATTTAAAAAAAAATATTATAATAATTTAAAATATTTAATATTTTAGAAAAAATATTTTTCCTCTATAATCTAGTTCAAATTGCTAAACAAAAAATTCACATACACATTCAAAATTGAAATTGGGAAGTTCTGTACATAATATTTTGTTTATTGATTTAAAAATATAATAAATATATAATCTATAGCTTTAAAAAGACATCTCACCAGCATAATATGATGCACTTCTTTTAAAAGAGCATAAATAGCAAATTTATTTATAACAGTTCTTGTTAAGCTTAATTAGTTTAAGCATTACAATGAATTTACAAAAATTTTAAATTTAAAAGTTACAACATTTTCTATTAGTTTGAGAGGATATTTTTGTTTAATGATATTTTAATTTTAAAGTATGTTATAAAAGTGTTAAACATTAAAATTTAAAAATGCACATTACTTGTTTAAATATAAAAGTATAAAAAATCCGTTTAACAAGCCATATGTTACTTATAAGTGTAATACTTGGTAAATTCAGTATTATATTAAAATTAGTAAAACTAATGAGAATTGTTAAACATAAATTTGCTAAGTACTTTTAACTATAATTATACAGATATACATTACTAAGAAATTATTTTAACAATCAAGACTCATTAAAAAAAAAAATTAACATAATATATAAAAATATTAATTGTACACTATTTGAAATTGTAACAACAATTTTGAAAAACATTATTATTTTACTTATATTTTCAATTTCATATTCTCCAAAAAAATATATATTTTGTTTTTAAATACAATAAAAAATAGAATTTCAAACAAGTAATTGATAAATATCACTGACAAGAATTTAATGTTTTTATAAGCAAAGTGAAGTAGCATATGATTACTTTAAAGAATGTAGATTCACTACTCTGCTCATCTTATAAATTTTAAATTATAATCATAAATAAAAATCTTATATTTCATGATTAACTTTGAAAAATTCATACAAAAATATTCTGTTTGTAAATACTAAAATAAAAATATAAATTATCATTAAAATTAGTAAAAATCTTAAAAATAATAACAGTAAAAATTGTAAAAATTTAATTTATCCACAATCTAGTGTATCATTAATCAAAATGTTGTTCTGTAAAAACCTCAATTAAACCTACTTAAAAAAAATATACATATACTTTCAAAAACATTAATACATTTTAAGATAATGATTATTTACTCATAGAATAATCACCATACAAAAATTTAAACTTAAATACAAGTATATAAAATTATAAATACATTTTACATAAAAAAAAAAATTCAAAATACATTACAACCATACATATTCTACCATAAGATTTTCCACCTGAGTTACAACTTATTTACTGTTTGTAAATAAGCATAATACTTATTATTATAAGGTATTATATTCTATTTTTTAAATTACATACTTTTAATAAATTATACAGTAAAACTGATATAATCATGTACAAGTAACAAGTAACAACTCATTAGTTAGTCATAAAATAATTTGAATATTACAATTGATAATTAGTTTATACAAAAAGTAAAAACAAATATTTTTTAGAATAATTTTTTGAGTAAATATATATTTTTGAAATATTAAATTTTGGCCAAATATTAAATCATACTTGATAGTGTATAATTAAACTTACATCTGGTTGAGGTGTAAAATGTTCTAATTCATATGATTCATTCATTGATATTACACATCTGACATTTTCTTCATCAATTAACTATAAAAAATATTATTTTTAATAATAAATAATAAATATATTTAAAATAGTATTAATAATATATATTTATCTAAGGAAAAGCTATGAGTTTACATGTATACATAATTAATAAACATATTAATGACTAACTTGATGTGAAATCAAAAAATAAGCATTATTCACGTGGATAAAATTAATAAATAAAAAAAAAAATTATAATTTGAAATCATTTATTCAATATTATTTATCTTACCAATAATATCCGATACATATATTTTTATAATAGCTATGAAGAGTTATAAATTAAATACATACTTTTTGACTTATATTCCTAAAAGGAAGTGCACCCAAAATAACATTTTCATCAATTCGATCATACCAGTTGCGCTGTGTTACTTTTTCCATGAACACATTGTATAAAAGTGTCGGATAAAATGTGACACGGGCAAACATTGTTCAATTAGGAAATATAAAATCTGAAATATAAAACAAACAAAAATAATTTATTAATTAAATAAAATTATATTATTTATAAATAACCAAAAATCAAATAAAAACTAAATTGATCTTTTTAAAGTTGAAACTTAATAATATTTTAGTTTTAATACAGTTTAATGTACATTTCTGAAATAACAGAAATTTAGAAATAAATTATTGAAATTAATAGTAAACGACCTTTTAAATTAATAATAACTTAAAAACTTTGTTATTATATGTTTTATAATGTTCATATTATTTTTATTTAATTTTTTAAAAATTATACTTTGATAAACTACATATTTAAAGCAGTCAAAAATCTATCTAAAGAAGTTTTTTATATGTTCATGACACATATTATATGCATAATAATGATTCTATTATTTCATAACAAATAATAAATTTATTTTATTTTTAAAGTTTAATGTGGTAATAATTAATTATAAGACATTTTAATATTTAAAATTGTTTATTATAAAAGTTAATTTTTTTATTTAAATTTTAAGAACAACTAGGCAATATATACAATCATGAAAATTGCATTATTGTTATAGTTTAAAACATTAGAATAAAATATAGTAATCTATTACATTTTGAACCTTTTAAATATTTGTGAAATAAACCATACATGTTTTGTAATGTAAATACAAATTGTCTATTAGTTGACAATAATCTTCAAAATAGTATAATTATTAATTAGTGACCTGAAAAATAATAAAAAAATCTAAATGGACAATTTATTACTAATCTTCAAATGAACAAAATTTAATAAAACCTTTAGGGTTTTACTAATAAATACAAAATAATAACAATATATTAGTAACAGGTTAATAGACTAGATTAAGATAATTCATTTAGATGTCTAGTGTTATGTACAATCCGTGAAAAATCAAAATGTCTTAAATTATTAATAATATAAAGGAAATAATATTATTAGTTACTTTAAAATTTTTATAAACTCTAAACACTGATGATTTCATGTATTTGTTCAATACATTTATAATACAACGTTAAAAAATGTATTTAAATAAATATTGTATATAAAATATAGATAGAAAAGATTAATAAACCAGTATAAATAAACCAATCTATCTTCAAGAAAAATGCAAGTACAATAGAGGTAGACTATGTCTAATAGATTGTAACTTTTTCATTGATACTGAAAAGCGATAGTTGCACTATTATTAATACCAAGGATAATTCTGACGAAGAAATCAAAACTACAAAACTAATTTAAATTATGGCATCAAGTTTAAGGACCTTAGGTGTTTGACATGTGCTGTTTGAGAAGAAAATAGTTTTAAAATGTCAATTTTTTTTTTATAGTCCATAAAATGGATTGAAAAACATTATTATCAATAATAATTAAAAAAATAGAACCATAAACAATAACTAATTCAGATGAATAGAAAGCATGCAGCACTATAAAAATTGTAAATATAAGTAACATAATGTTAAATAAATTATTATGAATAAACAAATGTTTTAATTCACAGAAAAACTGCCAAGAAAAAATCCAAATGTTATTTTAAAATAATACAACTATTGTAATATTGTGATAGGTATATAAGTAGACAAATATTTTAAATTTGATGTATAATGTAAATACAAAATGTAGGTATTGGATGATTATTTACATAATATGAGTTAGGAAAAAGAACATTTTTTTTTAGAATAATATTAGAATAATACTTGTACAGTATAAAAAACTGAATTTAAAAAGAATATATTTTTGTGATTTCCAATGGAATGCTTTCCATTATATCATGAATTCATAAATTGTTACTATTTATTCAGATTTACAAGATTTGTATTTGAGTTAGTAACATTATTAGTCTTAAATGTATTATAATTGTTATTAATTGATTATGGTATAAATTTTAGATTGTGACATAATTTATTATAATTAAGAGGATGCCATACCCACTTGTGTTATCTCTGTCTTACATACATATAAATAGCAAATTTTCGTTCAACAAAATCCATTTTATATTGTTAGCTTTAATATTAGAGTAAATTTACTTACTAGGTATCAAACTTAATGGTAAGAATTTTATCTAGGCCATCTCATAGGCTTTTATTGACATTTTAATTTTAAACTAAATTATAGCTATGTAAAATATTAAAACTCGAAAATGCTCATATCTCACTTTAAAATAATATTAATAAAAGCCTATGTAATGGCTTAGATAAAATTCTTAATCTTGATAGTAGATAAATTTACTCTAATATTAAAGCTAACAACTTAAAGTTGATTCTGGTGAACAAAAATTTGCTATGTTGTATGTATATAAGACAGAGATAATACATGCAAATATCTCTTAAAAAAATTTAAATATTATTTCATGTTTTTTATAGACATTTTAACATTTTTAACATCTTCAATAATGGTAACAACTACGATATGTCATAAAATCTGCTGAATTTTCTTATGACAATGGGTAATCATATGGTCATTCAGTATAAACGTATACATAAATAAACAGTTACTTTAAGTTTTCATTATTTTTATATTTATAAATATGATTTTTATATAATCATCATCAGCCATTTGCAGTATTATCCATACCATATGGCAGATGACCTGTTAATGTTATGTCTGTCTTACTATCAATAGTGGAGTAACAGCATAGGCAAGAAACCAAAATAAATACATAACCACTATAACAGGATATTATGACAAAATGTACCTAAATGATAGTTTTAGAAATAGTATTAATATTAGCATTTAATGTATCAGAAAACATTCACTAAAATTCATTTAAAAATAGCTATTTAAATATTATGAAAATAATCGGCAAGTATAATACTTAATGTGTATTCCACTAACCTACATTCATTCTTTCAAAACTCATAAAAATAAGTATGTATAATATATATGTCTTTTATTATTGAATAATTTTACGTTTTATTAATAAGATTGTCTATTGTTCTACTTTAGGAAACCAATTTAACAATTTTAAGTATTATGAATTTACTCTATTTAGACATTACTTTACTTAAATAATGATTTCTAAAGTTTATCTGTAAAATTCTATAGTATACTTTATTTATTTCTTAAAAAGTAATTTAGGGACTTATTGAACACATCAAAATTAAATAATGATTTATAATTTTTTTTTGGCAATTAAAATTCTTAATATTTGGAGATCAGTAAATTTTTTAAGCAACTTAAAGATTCGGTGTACAAAAAATGATAGAGAATTGCTGATGTATTAGAGTGGACATCTATAACTTTAATATTAATATATAATACCACTAATAATAAATAATACTTAGAATTTATTCTTATATACCTACATCTTTTTAATAAAAAAATATAATAATTTAATAAGTTAGAACACTAAATCACAAAAGATAAAAGATAATATAATTTTTGGCTTAATAATTTAACTTTAATTTAATTTTAAATGGAAACATATGTTTGGATCTATTTAATAATGAAACATTTTTACAGGGAAATAATAAATACAAATTAAATACCTATAATATACTTCAATAAATGTGTTGTCATACATGAATTTCGACTGAAAATATTATGTCAAACAGGTATTTATTTGTGAATAAAAAGATAACCACTACAGAATTGCTTCATACCTACTTATAATTACCTATAATATGCTTACCTAACATATAATATATACAAATAAAGTTAGTATTTAATAAAAGTATTACTTACATAAAATTAAATTTACTTGATATTTAATAAATAATTATTGTTTTGAACGGTAGATAATTATGTTCGAAAGTAGACCAAACAGGAATGAATTCGGGACAATTTGGTCGACTATCTAAAAAGTATGTCTACGATATTATTCAAAACGTACACTTTCGAATAGGACCATTAGGATTTATTCTCTCCAAGAGAATGATGTTATCAAAAAAAAAAAAAAAAAAACAAAGCGAAAATATTATCGTGTTGGATATAATTAATGTTACACAGATGTTTTGTTTATCACGATAACACACCAGCACACCAACACGACAACAAAATATTTCGGAGGCTGCAGCTGTTGCAGAGAAAGCGTCTCCTCTTATCATTAAATATCAATAGTTTGTTGGACGATTGCACATGATTGGTCGTAATCATAAACATAATATATATATAATCGTAACAATAATGCAATGATAAGACGGAGGTAATTCTGTGGCGGCAATATTATTCAAATATTCGATTTAAAAAGTATGCACACCTTCATGGGTTTTCCCGCGTCATAGAAACAAAAATCACGGCCAATCTGCTTTCAGTAGAATACATTTCGTGTTGTCAACTTTAATAATAGGGCGAATTGATCTATTGTCAGACTTAAGTATGAGAAAATTATCTGTCGTCGGTGTTATACAATATTTTGATTTTCAAGCGAACAATGAGTACGTATTATACTAAAACGTAAGAATGTTTAAAACTTGCTTAAAATTAAAACATCATAAAAAAATTGATAAGAGATAATAAATAATATTCTCATCTATTTAAACTAATTGTTAATAGGTTAATTCGCTCTAATATTTAAGTTAACGACACAATATCGATTTTGCTGAAAGCAAATTTGTTGTGTTATACGTTTTAAGTCAAAGAAAATACATCCTCATGAACATTATAAACCACCATTTGGCGATGTCGTGGGTAAGTAGATAGAATAAAATAATTTAAAAATTCCAAGAACTCGCTCTGCGAGGAGACTGAAACTACTGCAGAACGTAGGTGTCGAGTGTAGGTACCTAGTCGTTTAATATAGGTCACTGAAATGGATATGTTAAATTTGAATTCAACGATAAACCTTACTTGCGTACGAAAAAAATGTCTTAACAAAGACGATCTATGTCAGCCGATATTAATTTAAATAAATATATATTTTTATTATGTATTAGTACTGATATCAGTGAAATATATTCTAAAATTTTAATTTATAATATTATTGAGCTATTTTTACCGAAAACAACATGTATTATATTAATTATATATATATATAAAACTTGCTATTAATATTGTAATTAAAAATTCATAATTTTTTTTTTTTTTGTAATTAAGACTTGACAATTTAATACATTTTTCTTAAGCATAATTCATATTAAAACAAAAATATATGAATTCAAATTTGGACGAAATTAGATATTTAAACGAAAACGCAGAACAATTTTAGTTATATTGTTATTTATGGGGAATTGAAACTTTTAAATAAATATTGTTGCATTTTTTAACCTCAATACCTTTTTGAAAAAATTTAGATAAATATTTTGCTATCTCATATTCATACAACTATCCATTTATTTACACTCTTAAGGGTAAGTTGGAGAAGTCGGTATTGACACAAAAGTTAATAACAATAATACATGATAAAAATTAATAAAACAATAAATACAATGTTTTCCGCAAAAATTAATTTATCCTACCGTATACACTAATAGTTAAATAAATATCTATATAAGTACTCATATATAAGCAATATAAATTTATAAAATATAATCTTACAAAATATTTTTGCTCAGATTATACTATGTGCATCTAATATAATATGAAACAGAATTAACTATTTAGTATTTATACTCACATTGTATTAAATACTTTTACAGAGTTTTATTTATTAGTTATTATTTATTAATAATAGTTTTTTACTATAATGATAAATAAATAAATAATAATAATAATAATAATCAACTTATAAACAATTAAACATATAATTTACATGGTACAATAAACGACACTCTTCCTCAAAACACAGTTAAAGTGTGAATATATAATAATTAATAATTATAAAAATAGGTACGTCATATATTTTTTTTACTTATTGTACGGCTGTACGCTGTATACTGTTTATACGGGCTAATGATTATATTTTGTTGGCGGCAATAATAACTGGTAATATTTATTTTAGAATATTGAAGATTTAAAATATAAAACAAAATTAATTGTTTTAAAAACGAAACCGAGTATAAACACTTGAACCTTGAACTACGCTGATATTGTTGCTTTCATCATAGTTCATAGTCTATATTTGTTCTGCTTCTGTTTTACATATCATTCAAAATTACCAGTACAAAAGATGCTATAATAACGCCAAAAGTATTAAAAACCCAAACAAATACAAAATAAAGCTTAAGTTTTCAATTTTCGAATGTGTGAAATGGGTTTTGTACTTGAAAAACAATGCACCTTATATACGAATTTAGGCCCTACTTATAACTCATAAATTACTCATAAGTTTTAATTGTCATGTATGGAAATCCCCGAAAAATATTCTGCTTCAGTAAATGAAATTGAAAATGTATATTGTCATTTAAAAAAATAAAAACTTAAGAAAATTTAAAGAAAAAATATTAAAAACTATATTTATTTTTAAAAAAATATTGCTTTATTTCAAATTGAAAATTACCAAAGAAAAATATTTTCAAAAATTTAATAGATTTTGAAATAATAATAAATTAGTCATTAGATATAGGATAATGGAAAACATTTCAATAAACAAATAATATTAAATTCTTGTACTTGAGTCTATAAATCACCTGATATATTAACTTATGGAGATTGAAAAAATAAATTAAAACACCCATCAAAACTCAAGAAATTTATGTTAGTAAGTATACAACATTTTTAAAAACGGTCAGTAGTTTGACATTATTTGCTCGTTCAAAGTTCAAACATACAAACTCTTCAGCTTTTTTATATCAGAATATACCAATCGTAGATGAACAAATAACATTTAAAGTACTACAACTTACTGTAATTGTCCATATTATTAATGATACTAATAATAGCTAAATATTGCGTGAATTTCGGACGGTTAATGGTATATTTTGAAGTGCTTGGTCCACCCTAGCTTCGATAATAGCTATATCAGATCAATAGGTATTATATATGATGTATATTATAATACATAGATATCTGTATTATTAGAGCCTATCACCGCCCTACATTCGGTAAGTCATTACTATACAATTACCCTATACGTATGACTGTTCAGAGGGGAGAGAAAGAGGCAACAAAACTATTTTACCTCAGACCGCGATTTTGGAATATTTTTAAGGGCCCTCAAAAAGGATTACTTAATATTCACGTTTAATATTATTAGATTATGTGCTCGGGGGTTTAAAATAAAATTTTCGTATCACTTCGTATAATTGATGATGAGCGAAACCTGTCATTGAGTAGGTCAGTAGTAAATGTATTATTTTTTAATTAATATATACGAAGAATGATATTAAGTGATGAGTGATGACAGTTTGTCAGAATTGGTTACTGAGGAGATAATACTATATTATTTTACAATTTATTATAGTGACAATTTTTTCAATATTCCATAATTTTTGTTTAAATTATAAAAAAAGTCTGTTCTTTTATAAATTTATAAAGATTCAAGTATATTATTTCTGAAATCCTTTTTCTTTGCAAAATATCAATAATAAAATATCTCTGTAGACTATTCTGTTGTAATTATTATATACTTGTATAGGTAACTAAACGACATTTTCAGTTATTCTAAATGATAAAATAATTATAATTAAATATTATAAACTATTATTGTCGTGGTATCGGAGTGGTGAGTGCGAAGAAATAAGAATAATATATAAATCAAAATATATATAAATATATAAATTTACCTAATCTATTTATTGAATCCTATTAACACAATTTCCTGTTGACCATAAATATTAATAATTATTTGGAAATTGTTTTTTTTTTTAGTAGGTATATTTGATAATATTATAGCTAAGAGTTATTTAAAATTTACCTAACCCATAAATGTACCAGTTCGTAAGCTTTTATGAGATTGGTTGCAATTAAGGTTTGGAAAAATACATTTGCAAGAATTTTGCTGGCGTCAATAAATATATTTTTTTTATCATATCGATATTGTATTATGAACGGTCAAAAGGCCTGCACATAAATATTTTTCTCCTATCCCCGAAAAACTTTAGAACGACCCTGTCTATACGAACAAACCCGTTCATGAGGATAATGTTAGTGTCACACGACTGTCTGTATGCGATTTGTGCGTCTCGTCCTGCAAACACGCGCGTAATTTCGAATTTTGGACCGAACGCGAGGTATTTGTTAGTACGAGTATATATTGTACAAAAAACGATACATTCGTACTTTATTATCGCGTGTATCACACATAAATTTTGCTTTTGCGGTCGACGTAGTCGCGTATTATGACGGTATATATTACGGTAGGGCGACACGTTAAAAGACAAAAAATGCGTATTGTCAATTATTCATCCTTCCGGTTTTGTCCTTCGTCCGGTTTGGCACTGACGGGCGCCGGGATTGTGGGCACCACCGGGTCGGGCAGCACCGTCGTTTGCGCCGGCATCACGCCTTCGTCGAACGCGTCCGGGTCGGCGGTGACGGCGGCGCTCAGCACCGACGTGGCGGCCATCACCGTTTCTCGAGTGCGGTTCATCTGATCGATCCACTCGTCGATGGCCTGCTCGTTTTCCGCCAGGTACGGCCGGATGATCATCTGGTAAACCGTATCCGAGCCGCCCGCGCGCAACCACACGATGGCGCCGATCTTGACCAAGTCGTAGAACGGCACCCACGGCCGGGCCAGGCCCTCCACCGCCCGGAACACGCCGTACACGATCCAGTGGACGAGCAACCGCCGCCACACGTCCTGGTCCAGCCCGTTGCCGCCCGTCTCGTTCGCCTCCAGTCCCTTGTACGTCTGGTATACCGGTTCCAACATCATCAGCGCGATTTCCGTGACGGATGCCAGTAAACCGAACATGGCGGCGATTGGTTAGCGAGAGTGTACTTGCCTTTAGATTTGGAAAAAAATGGATGTTGCGTTTAAAACGTGTGACGAGTTTGGGCGTAAAAGAGCGCCTGTTGTGTGTGTGATGTGTATGCGTGTGTTGTGTCTGGTCAGCATACGTTTTTGTCGCCTTATGCTTATTATTATTGTGTATCGTATTTTTTGTATATACTGTTATTGTTATCAAACGCGCCACAGAAACGCCGGTTCGTTTAATTATTCGTCGTGTAGGAACATAATAATATGACGTGCATATATATACAGAGTGTATCAGAATGATTTGACCAAAAATAATTCGTAATACGCGGTAAACTTATAGTATAGCGCAAAGGCATAATATATCGGGCTTCGGATTAAACGGGGGGTGCAGCTGTGAGCTGGGGATGTATAATGCGCCGGCCACCGATACACTGGAGTATCGACGTTTCAGAGACCTAATAGGTATTAATGTCCTAGATATTTTCAATTGCGTAAAGAAATAAATTACCTACCAACAATATTGTTGAACAATGGCCAAGAAAAAAATAGTTTTAAGAAATTACCGGCTCCCGTTTTTTTTGTAGGCTGTTATGGTGGTCTTTCAGTTTTACTCTTACTTTAGACTTGATTTAAAGGAACACAATATGAGACATGTATAGTACCAAATTTAAATGTTTTATTTTTGAAATCCATTTTCACTTTTATCAAAAAAAAAGAAAAACATTAAATTTAATTAATGCACTATAATATAAATATTTATAAACAGCATTTTTTTATATAGACCTCCAAGTAGATCTAGAAATACAATATTTGGTTATAGAGCATTTCTAAACGCTGAGTCGGCTTCTTTTGTCCTTTCCCGAAGTCGTATTATTATCTTCATAATTCACCTAACAACCAAAACATTTTCTGTTTGTTAAAAATCAAAAACAAAAATTTTGTTTATAAATATTTAAAAAATATAAATACATTAATAATGTACATGGAGATCTATCTGGAAAAATGTCTACTTTGTGTCTCTGTTTATACGTTAATTCATGTTATTATGTCTGGATACTAGACACACTCAGTGTATATGATATAATATAATATGTGACCTATATAATGACTACATAATAAAAATGCACACTACACATATTATTGTTTTGTGTGTTTTGTCACTGTCAGATTTACGCGTGGGCGTAGACAGTAACACAATTATTAGATATACTGTTTATTAATATTGTGATAGCACTAGCTTATATAATATTACCATGTAAAAACGTATATGTCAGATTAAAGTGTTTGAAAATACTATTACTATACCATATACTTATATACGTATAAGTGTTTAATTTGTTTATTTAATTATTGTGATGAAGCACGTTTTTAGTGCGAAGAGTTCAAAATTTGATTATTCCAAGCACCCTATTATTACGTCCACGTGACTTAAATCGAATAAAATAATTGGCCTGTCATTAGATATTAGATTAATTAAACCAAGTTAGTATGTACATAGTAGATATGTCAACGAAAGTAGAACAGGAATTGAAATAAAATGTCGTATTATATGCGCCATAAATGGACTTAGCGTGCTAGTTATTTAACAGTAAAACGTCTATTATATTTATGATTAATACTATTTTGTGAACGTCCTACTTGTGATATTGATTGGCCTGCTTCCAAGAAGGGTTGAATAAAATATTTGAAACAAAAAATTTAAATAATAATTTATTTTTACAAATACATGCATTTTAAATTCTAGATAAAGTAATTTATCTAATTAGAGGGTGACTTCTGAAGCAAATTGGATCTCGTTTGAAATTTTGAAATTTGGAAGTCAAAAGTAAAAATCTCTAGTACTTTTCTACTTTTCTTAATAATCTGGAAAAACAAAAAAAAAAAAACGACGGTATTTTACCCAAAACCCTGTTTTTAATAGAAATGATTTCTTTATTTTGTTATTTTAAAAACGAATAACCTTAGAAACCTGAAATATTCGCCTAGTTTTTATATTATTATTTTCAATACATAGCATAACTTAAAGTATTTTCACTAAATTTAAGCTTTTTTTAAAAAAAATGTATTTATTATTTTTTTTTCCGTTAAAAATGATTACTTAGTCAAAAAGCTTGAAAATAATACAAGGTTCCTCTTCAGAATTTTTTATTAATAAAAATAAAAAAAGTTGAGGGTAAATTCACAAAAAAGGTTTATAAATATTTAAAGTTAAAATTCTAACAAGTTTCGTCAAAATCATAAAATTTAGCTAATTATCTTACACTAAAAATGTTAAGCTAAGGTTTGAAAATTTAAAAAATACATAAACATCTGAAGTTAAAACTTGGAAAAATTAAATATTTAAATAATGAATACGTTATTTACTATTTTATAATAATATAAAAACATTATTCGTGGAGACTTAAAATGCTTCAACGTATACTCTCGTATATATTTTATTACATGCAATGAACAATGATATTTTCAAAAAGGAAAAACTAATTTAAAGATGTTACCTATTTTTAAATCTATTTATACTATATTATGGTAGGTAAGATAGAACTATTAACTCGTAAGTTAATATAACCATAATAAAATAATATACGTGGAATAAAATATTAAATTTATTATTATCACGACAACTAAATATTAATATTATAACAAATACAATATTTTTGATAAAAATTAAATCAACTATTAGGCACCGTAATATTAATAATAAAATAAATTACTTTTATAACAATATCAAAAAATATATCGTGAAACGTACTTAATAAATAGGCTGATACACCGTCTCCGCTAAGAATCGTTTTTCGTATACAATGATAGATAATTTGATTTAAATTTAACACATCTATTATAATGTCCTATTCGACACCTACTAAATAATATGTAGCTTTGGTTTACCGTTAACTATTTATTATTATAAAGGAAAGACCATATAGACACTTGGATTTTTCATCTAAAAAATAATAACATTTTCTACACGTAATATAATTTTTTAAATATATTATTATTCTAAGCTAATAATTTATTAACATTTGAAATTTTCTATTTTTTTTTTTTAATAATTTTTGTTTTTAATATTGATAATATTTATATATATTTTTTAGAAAAAACATATAAATTTAATATAGGGTTCCTCATAAATGTTGAATATAGATATTTAAAACTATCAAAAATACATAAACATTGTTTTAAGAGCGTTTGAAGTTTAAATATTGAAGGAATTAGATATCTAAACGAAAAATAACGATTTTCAATAAATCTAATAATTTTGAAGTAATTAAAATAATATTAACCATAGAAACTTGAAACATATCACTGTAGTTTAATTTCTCATTTTCTATGCGTGATAAAGCATTTAAATTTTAAAATATTAATGGTATACTGCTATTCAACGTATTTATAAAATCATATGATTTATTATACATGTATAATTACTTTTTACATTATTGACTTAATATAGTTATAATATCTATATATAGATATATATGATATTATGTTATAGTAATTAATTATATGATAGATAACTATTTAATAATTTTATAGTTAGAATCTCAATAAAGAAAAAAAAATATGATAAATATAAGCGATAAAATAAGTAAATTATAAAATATGCTTAGAAAATTAGAAATTGATACCATTCTCGTTCAAAATTGTTTTTCGTTTACAGTTATCTATCATTTAAATCAATTAATATTACATATCCATCATACAGTGACTCAGTGACATATTTACTTACAATTGTTACATTTAAAACTTGATGTATAGCAGAGCGACTTCCATGAGTTTTTAAAAATAATTATTATGGCAAATAAAAATTTAAAAAATCATTAAATGCAAATACTTAAATATTATTTATTTAATTAGTTAGTATTGTTATATAGTAGTTAAGAATACAATCATAAATTAATACAGAAAAAATTAAAAATTTACAATTGATAATGTCTTATATGTGTTGCTCTATTATTTATTTCACTAATTTTTATTAAATCATAAAAATTAAAAAATTATATAGTTAAAGTAAAAATTAAATTATAATTATTAAGCAACAAAAGAATAAAAACAACTAATTAGCTAGGTATATTATTGATACTCAAAATCCAAGTAAGAAAATCACATCATTATTATTAATAAGCCAAATTTACATATTCATAGAAAATAATTTAAATAAATAAAACTAATATGAAATTCAACTTTTTTTTTTTACGGAAATTTAAATTTCTTATTAGCTCGACTGTATTAATAAGTAACTACCTAATTTTAATATTAGAGATCAAACATGATTAAACTTTTACTTTTGTGTTTAAGTTATCGATAAGTCTGTAATCAGAAAATTATTTGACATGACACGACGGTTCAGCCACGAGTTATAAAGCCCTCATCATATTTTTCATCACCATTAATCAGCTTCAGAAAAGTAGGGACCTTTTGCAATGCATGTGCATCTTATTGTTGTCTCCAGTTTAATCTCGTCGAGTAACTTCCGATCCTCGATGATTCTCGATCACACCGTTTTCACGTCGTTTTTACACCGTCGAACATTTATCATCGTATTACATGATCATTGTAGCAATTATGATTTTTCTGATAACTTGTATGAACTTTTTTGATGGCAAAACCCACAGCGGTCCATCCATAAACTTTATATATGTTAAAGTTACTTCGTGGTAATATTTGTCAACCACCGTTCATATATCTACGGTAAATTCGGATTTATAGCTATACTCGTATCATCTGTCGTGACATGTCCAAAAGTTAAAATTTATTCATCTATATAGATATTTCCGGGTAGATAATGATTATTAACTGATACCTACCATGATTACAATAACCAATTAAATCACACAACATGACAAACAATGATATAGCTATGAACTCGTGTTAAACTACTCGCCGGCGAGCAACTGCAATGTTTCTATTGTTTATAGTTTATTAGTGTTAAGGAAAACTTTTATCTGTGCTGGGTGCGCCTACCTGCAGTTTCCTTGTATCCGTTCAATTTTTAACGA